TGTGTTTAGTTGACTTTTTGTAGTGACATGTTTTGATTCTCTTCTCATTTTTTTGGTGTACATTTTATTATATTTTCTTTGTGTTTACAGTGACAATTAGATATGACATTCTAAAGTTATAACAACCAAATTTGAATTGATACCAACTTAACTTCAACTGCATACAAAAACTCTACTTCTATATAGTTTTGCCCCTCTTTGTTATTGATATCACAAATTGCATTTTTGTATGTTATGTACCTATTAGCATAGATTTATCATTATTTTTATGCATTTATTTTTTAAATCCTGCAGAAAATAACTAGTGGGGGTGTTAGGTGGAAGAAGTGGGAAACTGCCATCATGTTTTCTACTTCTTCACTCACAACTGATTACAAACATTGCCCCTGAGCAGCCTGGACTATAGGCTCCCTTTTTTGCACTTAATTAAACTTAAAAGCCTGGCTATGCTTGGACAGAACAATGATAGACTCTCTGAAGTTCTGACTATATTTGGGTGAGGAATTACAGTCTCCTCCCAACTCTTCTAAAAAATGGCACATGAGTGGGTGGCAGCTTCCCTGCTCACTTTCCTTCCTCAGATCTGCTTTCTCTCAATGGACACACTTGACTCTTTTCTGTGTGATCACTTTTGGGGCAAACCCCGCTTTTCCCAGCCTGCTGGTTTGCTATTTTCCTTCTGGAAAGGTACCTTGGACCAGTGAATCCAGTATGAAAACAGGCCAGAAACAAGAGTCAGAGAGAGAGAGGGAGAGAGGGAGGAAGGCAGTGGAATCATTTTGCACTCCTTGTTACTGGCTCTGGGTTCCCTGCCAAGCAGAGCTGGCTTCTGTCCTGCATTGATGGTCTCTACGTCATACAGAGCTTGAGAAAGAATGAGAGCAAACTTCTTCCTCTACCACTGATAACCAAACCACTACCTCTCCAGCGTGTCCTTTGCATTAATCATTGTCTCTTGTCTGGCCTTTAGAAATGTGAATCTTCTCATAAGTGTTAATATATTAGGTATTCAGTATTTTTCAACATTCTTAGATATTTTTTTTTTTAAGATACTTTTTTCTTAATAAAATGACATAAGCACCATAAGACTACTGTTTGGATCTAGAAAGAACTAGGGTGTCTGGAGCTAAGAAAACTGCTATAGACAGGGGAGGGCTGGGAGGTATTGCCAACACACTGTACCATCTTGCAGGTTGGCTTATTTACAATCACGGCAGCAAGATTTCTTGACAATGGTGGATCTGAATCAATTCTAGCTGTTTAAAATTACTGCTTAAGGATCTAAAATGTGGCTAATACCCAGGGCTTTGGGGACAGGGATTTGTTCCCTTCCATAACTGAAAGGCATAGTAAGGCTCTCTGTGGACCATAAACACCAAGACACTTTTTGCCCAGTGACTCCACTTCTAGGAATCTGTTCTAGGAAACTATTGGAGGCACACACAAAGACTTATCTACTAGGACTCTCATAATGTTTGTTACTTATATTAGTAAAGAACTAGAAATTCCCTAAATTTCCAACAACAGGTGGATGGTTAAGCCTAATGTGGTGATCCATGTAATGGAATATGATGCCAACATGTAAATCAGATTGTAGAAGAACATTTAATAACACAGAAATGCTAATGACATATCTAAGTTAAACAATTAGAGGACGAAGCCATTTATTTGTTTGAATGTATGTCTGGACATGTATATATTTGAAGCTGACTTTATTATTATTTTTTTATTATGTTCAATTAGCCAACATATAGTACATCATTAGTTTTTGATGTAGTGTTCAATGATTCATTCATTGCATATAACACCCAGTGCTGACTTTAAAACTGTTCGTTTATATGTAGGAAAAAAAAGAAAAACCCGAAAGGAAGTTCTTTATTTTTTATTTTTTAAAGTATTTAAATTCCAGTTAGTTAACATACAGTGTAATGTTAGTTTCAGGTGTACAATATAGTGATTCAACACTTCCACACAACACCCAGTGCTCATCACAACAAGTGCACTCCTTAATCCCCATCATCCATTTAACCCATCCCCCCATCCACCTCCCCTCTGGTAACCATCAGTTTGTTCTCTATAGTTAAGAGTCTTTAAATGTTAACAGCTGGTATCTTTGAAATACAGAATTATATACAATCATTTTATCTGTTATCCTCTTCTGTAGTTTCCAAATTATTCAAATAAGTATTGCCCGCTTATAAGTTTACAGGCATATACGAAATTTGCACATGTATACAGAGTTGTTGAGACACACTAGGGAAAATAGATACTGTTGAATTTCGTGAATTTTGAAAACACCTGGGCTTAGATGTGAAGTCAGAAAAATGTCAATGAGATTTCTTTTTTCAGGAGGAGAAAAGGTCAGGAATAATATAGATCTCATCAATATATTCTACCTTAATTAAGTCAGAAAGAAAAATGACTCCGAAATATGTGTTTCTTGGGCAATCCTGAATCTTCTCTATATGTAGTTTCTGAGTTTTCTATCTTCCAGGATAGCAGATCAGGGATCCTGTGAAGTAACAGGGTCTAAAGCCCTCTCTGAGCTTCTCTTCTTTGCAAAAAAGAAATGGACTTGGAACAATCAAAAATAATGTCTGGACAGTGTCAGATTAAGTTTAAATTTGGAATAGCCTGAAGTCTCTGGGTAATTTCCTAGCAAAACTTAATTTTATTTCTGGCTCTTTAGAATCACAACTAAATATTAAAAAGCTTAGAAACTACTCCCTGTACACTTATCTACAATTATAAAACACTGTGTGTACACAAAGTGCAATTAGAAATGTTAAATAATGAAATGAGCCAGATGTGCACACCTCAGGGAAAATAAAATGTACTCTTGACATTTCCCCCTTTCCAATTTTCCTCCTTCATGGCCATAAGGTGAATTCTCAGCATTGCACAATGTGGTGCTGCTGTGAGCTGTGCTGAGAACCTGTGGGTAGTGCTTTCTAAGGAGCAACAGCACCTCCACTCTCTTGAACATTTTCTGCTCTTCAGAGGGTCAGTGGTGATTCTGAGCACATTATTGATCTAATAATGCTTTAGAAAACTGTTCCAGTGGGTCAAAAAGACACCTCATGCAAACAAGCTATGATTACTGGGATTTAACTAATTCATTAAGTATTTAAGCACCTACATTTAACTGGGTACCAGTTAAGGTACCAGATAAAACAAGATGGAAATAACATGGCAGCCATTCATAAGAGGCTCACAGTGTAATAGAAATAATTGAATTGAATTGAAGCCGAACTATGCTTACCATTTACATCTCCTAATTTAGTGTGACTCACTTTACTGAGTTTTTCCTTTAAATCCACACTATACAGATGAGAAAATGGAAGCTCAGAGTGGTTAAATAATGTGAATGAGGCATGGTAACAGTCACCTTTCCCAGAAATGCTATGTAACAGACCATGCCAGGGAGTAACAGAAAACACTGGATATTAGTTGACTCATTGAGACGTTTATCTAAATCTGCCTGAGGCCCTTCTTTATTTACAGTTATGAGACATGAAAAATTTAAAAACCCAACTAATTGTTTAAGCCAGTTTGAACAGCTAACAGCTAAAGTGCATGAAACTATTAAATCCCTCAAGTGGAACTCATCTTCCACCTCTGCTCTCATGCATGCTAGTTAGGGCATCTGTTCTACACCTTGTTCTCTGCTGTGCTCGTCTCCCTGGCTATTAAAGCTCCTGAGGACAGAGTCCTCTCACATCTGTGTTCCCCTATAAATGCACAGGGCTGCCCAGAGGTGCTACTCAGAGGACACATTGCTGGCCCAAGACAGACTCTTTTCCTGGCTTCAGTGTGGAGTGGTGGGTGTTGTTGGACACAGCTCAGGGCCCTGGTTTCATTCACCCATGAAACCAGGGTCTTATTGACTGTTGTCACAGGTGCATGTTGGAATGAGAAGGAGAAAAGGGGGTGGGAATATTTTTCTTTCCTTTCTCTGTATTTATGATTTGAAGTACTATTATTGCCCAGGTGAGTGTTTCATGGCATCCACAGCAGCTCTGTGTGGCCTGGGCTCCTTAAGGAAAGGCAGTGTATTTGCGTATAAAATGACATATTCCCAACAGGAATGAAAATGATTTCTGCAGTTTTCCACGAAGAGCTGGTTGCTTTTAAACGTCATGTGTCCTTGAATGAGGTGCCCATATATGTTTGTGGGTTCTCTTGTGCCTGTGCAATTACTTCCATCTTAAAGGCTCCTGATTTGGATAAGTTTATGGTGGCCCTTCCTCTAGTGCAGGCCAGCACAGTGGAAGGGGGTCCCACACAGTGTGAGCCTTTGCTTTGCTTCACTTGTGGCTCCCATCCCCCTGAGAGGCCCCTCCTTGCCATTTTATCATTTCATTTTCACCCTGTGGGCCCTGACTTCTGCTGCTTGGTCTTTGATGGGAAGCCAGTAGGATATATATATTTTTTTAAAGATTTATTTATTTGAGAGAGCGAGAATGAGAGAGAGTACATGAGAGGGGGGAGGGTCAGAGGGAGAAGCAGGCTCCCCGCCGAGCAGGGAGTCCGATGCGGGACTCGATCCCGGGACTCCTGGATCATGACCCGAGCCGAAGGCAGTCGCTTAACCAACTGAGCCACCCAGGTGCCCGTCAGTAGGATATTTTCAATGTGTGATATTTAAATACTGTGATATTAGGAAGTAGAATTTTCTGAGTATAGAAAGGCCCGTCAGACTCTGAATGGTTTTCTCCATGAAAAGTTCTGCATGGAATGGTAAAGCCTAAAGGTATCAATCCTACAGCATCTGGTCTCCTACGTGAGTTTTTGTTTTGTACTGCCAACATGGTTATGCTGGGGAGGAGAGCTGTTTCTAATTGTCTTTCCTAAAACTCCAGCTTTTTACAATTCAGATATAAAATTCAGTGTAAAATTTATCACTGAATCTCAGGCATGTTCTTGGATATAGCCCCAATTACCAGTGAACACCTCCACCATTGTGTTGGTGATCCTTTTTCCTTCATTGTGTCTTTCAGGTCTCACTCTTCTTTACCTCAGTTCTTCAACTCCAGGTCAAAAGACCCCTGCTTTACAGAAAACACTCCTTTGCTGAGAAATTCCTCACAAGATAAAGGGTGAGTTTCCCCCCACCCACTTCTTATAAAATTAAGAAAGCTCTGAACATTGCCCTTGGCACTTATACTGGAGAATTTCTTCCCGAGAGGTGAATTTTTCTCTGACACGTTGTTTGGTCTCTGCCAGATCCCTGTCAGTTCAGTGTAGGATATATTCATGATTCTAGTAGTTGTAGTCTGTGGCTTATGAATTTCCAAATAACCTTGAGCATACCCCTGCAGTGATTAAATAACACATGTGCACATTCATGCATATACACAGCTCTGATGGGCCGTCTTACCAGGCCAGAGCTTCTGAACCAGGGGTAAGGAAGGCATCATCCAGAGATATTTTTTTGTTGTCATAGCTGGGGCAGGGGTACTACTGCCATTTAAGGGTAGAGGCCAGGGATGCTGCTTAACATCCTGCAGATGTTAAGGGACACTTCCCCCCAACAAAGAATTATCTGGCTCAAATATCATTAGTGGTAAGGTTTAAAAATGTATGATTTAAGAGGAACCTCCACTTCCTGCAACTTTGAGGTCCTATTGGGTACAAACAGGATGGTTCTGGAATCTCTGAGCAGAGCTGATCTGGAGGATAACTCTGTCCCCTAGGATGAAGGGCCCTGCCCCAGTTTCCAAGCTCATCTCTTCTTCTTTTTGCAGACAAACTTCCGGAAGCCTGAACCACTTGCTCAGTATCCCCTGACTGACTCCCTGCACATTACAAACTTGGTGGCATTGTCGTGGACTCTTCCTTTTCTACCCTCTGACCCCACGCACCTGCATTGGCAGGCAGGCTACCGTGTTACCTGCCCTTACCTCCCTCCCATCCTCTGAGGAGCTGCCCACCCTCTTTCCAGCCCTGTCTGCAACCATGTGGATGGGACTTCATACTTTATAGAATGTATCAGAATTCTTTGGGGTACTTGTATGCCATGTGGATTCCTAGCCTCACTTGCCAAAGACTCACCCCATTTAGATAGGGTGTTAGAATGTGGATTTAATCACCTCCTGGTGCAGGGACAATCTGGCTCCCTCCAGGAGATTCTGATGACAAGGTGTGTCTTCCTGCAAAAGTCCCCACTGAGCCCTTTGACTAGACGAACTTCCTCCTGTTCTGGCTCTCCAGGGCAGTCTCACTCAACTTCAAAGGGGCTCAAATGTCACCTTCTTTGTGAAACATTGGTCCCCCACAACTCCCTCAAGAGTCAATGCTTCTTCTGTGCTCTCAAATACACATTCGTGCCCATACTTTAGAACATGCCTTATGTTCCATGGTTATGCCTGCCAGCCTGCCTCTTCTTCATCTCACATCCTAGTGTCCAGCACAGTCCCTGCAGCCAGGAGGATAACTTAATTTTTCTCCATTTCTCCTAATAAATAACTTTGAAAACAGACACTTCAAATATCAATTCCCTTAATGCTTTCCTTTGAATTACTTGGTAAATCATGAAGGTTATTTTAGAACTCATGTTTCATTGGAAAAGCATAATGTGTAGGCATTTGTCCTGGGCACATGGAGCACAGAAACATGCCCCGGGATGCCAAGCTGTGCCTCAAGTCAAAAACTACATACCTACAGAGGAGCAGAACATGGGTCAGGTTTGCTTATAAAACGTTTTCCTTCTTTTCAAGGTGTTGAGGGCAGGAATATGCAGCTGATGGTATTAGGAGCAGAGCATGCTGTGCATCTGCACTGACCAGCCTAGTAGCTACTTGTCACAGGCATTATTTAAAGCTAAATTAATTAAAATTAATTAAAATTAAAAATTCAGTCTTCAGTTACACACTTCAAGTGGCCCATGAGCATGTGTGACTACCATACTGGATAGGAGAGAGAACACACCCATCACCACAGAAAATTCTATTGCACAGCATTGTTCTAGATATACTGACATTAGCTTTCTTCTTGCCACTTCTAAAAGAAGTTTCCTTAGTTCCAATTTTTGTTACGGTCGTATTTGTTCACCAGTGGAGGGGGTCGTGATATCATTCCTTACACATAAATATTTCCCAGTCACAGAACTCTTTGTTTTCAGTATTGATTAGTTTGCAGCACTGTCAGCATCAATTGCTATTGTTACATATTTGTTTCATACAGCCTAATTTGCATCTTTGGGTTTCTCTTTACGAATAAGACTTTTTTTTTCTTGTTGTAAACCAGTTTGAAAGCAATTATAGGTGTTCAGGTGAATCACAATGCCCTGTTGAGCTAGTTGGGCTTGAGAGGCAAAATTGGTCTCTAAGATCATGGCCCGTTATGTCAGTAGGGTGATCCCATGAATATTCCAAGCAATACATGAAAATACCGGGCTTGGTGCAACCTCACTAGAGTCAAATGCATCTGAACTGAGGGTTTGTTCAGAAGCCCAGAGATTCAGCCAAAAGTAAATGGATGTGTCCACATGTAATTTTGTTTTTTTAAATTTTATTTTATTATGTTATGTTAATCACCATACATCATTAGTTTTTTCCCCTTTTTTTATTATTATTATGTTATGTTAATCACCATACATTACATCATTAGTTTTTGATGTAGTGATCCACGATCCATTGTTTTCATATAACACCCAGTGCTCCATGCAGTACGTGCCCTCCTTAATACCCATCACCAGGCTAACCCATCCCCCCATCGCCCCTCCCCTCTAGAACCCTCAGTTTGTTTCTCAGAGTCCATAGTTTCTCATGGTTTGTCTCTCCCTCCGATTTCCCCCCCTTCATTCTTCCCTTCCTGCGACCTTCTTCTTCTTCTTCTTTTTTTAAACATATATTGTATTATTTGTTTCAGAGGTACCGATCTGTGATTCAACAGTCTTACACAATTCACAGCGGTCACCATAGCACATACCCTCCCCAATGTCTACCACCCAGCCACTCCATCCCTCTCACCCCCTCCCACTCCACCACCCTCAGTTTGTTTCCCGAGATTAAGAATTCCTCATTAAGAAGTCCACATGTAATTTTGAGAAAAGTTTATGATTCCTTTTGAATCATCCTTCTAGATAGAGGTTCCATTCTTGGGCCCATCTAGTCCAGCACTGATATTCTCCACTCCTGCTCATGCTCATGTATAGGCTGGGTGGAAAAGCCAGGTAGACCATCTTCCCTATAGCTCTATTACAGAAAGATATTTGTAGGCCTACACCCCTCATTATGCTTCAGGACAGGTGTAACAACTAGGTACTGAGAACTCTAGCACAATCAAGGAGAAAGCAAATACTGAAATGGACTGGAGTGGGTCTGAGCCAGAAACAGCTTTATTGGAAAGTTCCAAACTCAGAACAAGCTGATGTTTCTTGAAGGTCCACAAATCATATGCATGACCCCAAATGATTTTCCTTAAGCTAAGTGTTAACACTGTGATGTCAAAAAAGACCCATTCCCACCAGTTTGACAGCACTAAAATATCTGTGGTCCATTTAAAAACCAGAATTGATTCCACATTTCATACTTACCACTGAAATGAAATCTTATTTTGGAGATGCTACTATTTCTGTGAAAATAACCACAAAGCCTTGCTTTCCAGGTCATGGTGCATGCCTATTTGCCATCCAGAGTTCATCACTGCTGAAGAATCTTGGGGCAAGAGCTCAGCTGAGTGGGAGGCAGGATCCCTGTTGAGCAAAGACTTGGCTGGTTCCTCTGGATCTGCCTCCCAAGAGAAGGGGGAGCATCTGGACAGCGCTCATATCAGGTTCCATCTTTTGAAGCTGAGGTAGGAGGACTGGGAGTGCTAGCACTGGCACAGGGTGACGGTTGCACAGAGCATCCCTCTTGCCTGGGACTAGGCTGGGGGCGGTTCTCACCCTCACTGCATCCTTCCCAACCAACAGAGTGAAGGTGAGGAAGAAGGGTTTTCACATTTGGCCAGGCTGCACTTTTCCTGGAAGGTTATCTACCTTTTCTTTCTTTTTTTTTTTTTTTTGAGAATTTTCATTTATTTATTTATTTATTTTTTTTTTTATTCTTATGTTAATCCCCATACGTTACATCATTAGTTTTAGATGAAGTGTTCCATGATTCATTGTTTGTGCATAACACCCAGTGCTCCATGCAGAACGTGCCCTCCTCAATACCCATCACCAGGCCAACCCATCCTCCCACCCCCTCCCCCCCAGAACCCTCAGTTTGTTTTTCAGAGTCCATCATCTCTCATCGTTTGTCTACCCCTCCGATTTCCCCTGCTTCATTCTTCCCCTCCTGCTACCTTCTTCTTCTTTTTTTTTCTTAACATACATTGCATTATTTGTTTCAGAGGTACAGATCTGACATTCAACAGTCTTGCACAATTCACAGCGCTTACCAGAGCACATACCTTCCCCAGTGTCTATCACCCAGTCACCCCATCCCTCCCACCCCACCCCCCACTCCAGCAACCCTCAGTTTGTTTCCTGAGATTAAGAATTCCTCATATCAGTGAGGTCATATGGGTTATCTACCTTTTCTCCAGGCCCTGGAATATATGTAAGGTGGCACTGTGGAGCCACCAGTGTGGAGCCTGTAAGGAAAGCCCAGTTACAAACATAAATGACTGACATCCTACACTCCTTGTTTGTGTTGTGAGGGTCTTCATGGCATGACCTCAGTTTGCAGAGAGAATCAGTTCACTTCAGCAGTCCCTGTGGTATAGTGTTGTGTTTTATTTATTTATTTATTTATGACAAGATTTTATTTATTTATTTGACACAGAGAGAGAAAGCACAAGCAGGGGAAGTGGCAGGCAGAGGGAGAAGCAGACTCCCTGCTGAGCAGAGAGCCGGATGTGGGGCTCGATCCCAGGACCCTGGGATCATGACCTGAACAGAAGGCAGACACTTAAACTGACTGAGCCACCCAGGTGTCCCCCCTGTGATGTTTTAAAATGATATTATTATTTTTTATTTATTTATTTATTTTTTGAGATTATTTATTTATTTATTTATTTGAGAGAGAGAATGAGAGAGAGAGAGCATGAGAGGGGGGAGGGTCAGAGGGAGAAGCAGACTCCCCGCCGAGCAGGGAGCCCGATGCGGGACTCGATCCCGGGACTCCAGGATCATGACCTGTGCCGAAGGCAGTCGCTTAACCAACTGAGCCACCCAGGCGCCCTAAAATGATATTATTATTGATATTAATACTGATATTATCCCTTGTAGTTGGCGATGAAGCATGTTATTAGAAGGGTTGGCTCTTGCGCCAGGGCTCATCCTTCAGGAAGCTATGTTGTCCAGCCTGGTGTGAGCTGGGACCCCAAGGCTGTGAGGAAGGGGGTTGGTGGTAGTGGTGGTGGAAAAGCTATGCTTGCACATGCAGAGGAGGACTTAGGCATGCATGTGTGTGGGAAAGCTGAGGGCATTATGTTGGACCATGCGAACTGGCCAGCCAGAGCTGGAGTACTTTTGCTCTCCCTACTTTGTCTGCTGTGCTTCCATAGGCACATTTATTTAAAAGAAAGGTTTTGTTGAGAGCGACATGTTTGGAAGTGGCATCTCTAAGTACAGAATAAGGCTTGGGGACCAGGACCACCAGGTCCTCATTCCAGATATGCTCTGAGGTAGCTGAGGGACCAGCAGAGGCAGACACATCCGTTAAGCTGTTTCCTTGTCACCTTGTATCTCCCTCACTACACAGCCTTGCAAGGGCTCCTGCTAAGATGGTCTGTGGGAAAGCTCATGGATAGGTGAGAAGACACTATGTAGCTGTAAAATAATTGTATTATTGTTTGTCTACATTAGGGTACCTGTCTTTTCTGAAGTTGTTTGAAGGCCTGATTAGAAATGTACCTATCTGCATGCCCAAAGTGCACCTGTTTGTGTGCAGAGAGGCCCACTTGCATTGTTCTATTGACCCTTCTAGGAATCTTGAGAGGTAGATGAAGGAAGGGACTTCAGGGAGGATAAGGATTTTGCCTGGGGTCATGCAGCTTGTAAGCTGAGGGGGGTCGGCAGGGATGTGACCTCCATATCCCCCACCTGTGCTTGACCATGGAGATTATGTTTCCCAACATGTTTCCCAGCCCTGTGTTGCTTTTTCATGATTACTGGTCTCAGCTGCCAGCATATATATGACAAATATTTGGCCACAGAATCTGCTATGAAATTAAGTGAATTGTGTGAAAGTGTGTGAATAGGGATCTGGCCCTAAAGACCACCAGGTTGGTGAGCTCTGACACTGTTAACACCCATCCTCAACTGGTTGGTTCACAGCTCGAGAGGATGCCAGGTTCTTCAACTGTCCCACACCATAGAAAAATTTAAACAAGTATATTTGAGACTTTACATTCTGTAGTTGCTTTATCTTCTAGGATTCATGGAATAGTTGCATTGAGCTTGCCACTGAACTAAAAGACTTAGTGCCATTCTTTTTAACAGGTCTAAAATGTACCATGTATGATCATTGGGAAACTTGTAAAACATATTTTGGATTGTTATCTCTGCTGTATATGTCTGTTATGTAGAAAAAAAATTTGTATTTGGAATAGTTAAATCAATGCCTCATGCTTTAAAAAAGAAGTATCATTTTGATTCCCATTTATTTATTACTATTTTTTAATTTGAGTATAGTTGACATATAATGTTACATTAATTTCAGATATACAACACAGTTTTTCAACAAATGTATATGTTTTGCTATCTTCAAGTGTAGCTACCATTTGTCACCATGCAATGCTCTTAAAATACCACTGACTATATTCCCTATGCTGTACCTTTTATTCCTATGTTTTGTACATTTAATAAATAGAAGACTATCTCCCACTCCCCTTCACCCATTTTGCCCATCCCTCTATCTCCCTCCCCTCTGGCAACCATTAGTTTATTCTCTGTATTTATAGGTCTGAGTCTGATTTTTGTTTGTTTATTCATTTGTTTTGTTTTTTAGATTTCATATATGAGTGAAATCATATGGTACTTGTCTTTCTCTGTTTGACTTATTTCACTTAGCATAATACCTTCTAGGTCCATCCATGTTGTCACAGATGGCAAGACCTTGTCCTTTTTTTGGCTGAGTAATATTCCATTATATGTAAATGTAAATATAAACACACACACACACACACACACATGCACACATTCTTTATCCATTCCTCTGTTGATGGACACTTGGGCTGCTTCCATATCTTGGCTATTGTGAATAATGCTACAGTAAACATAAGGGTGCATATATCTTTTTGAATTAATGCTTTTGTTTTCTTTTGGTAAATACCCAGTATTTGGAATTATTGGATCATATGGTATTTCTATTTTTAATTTTTTGGGGGGATCTCCATACTGTCTTCCACAATGGCTGCACTAATTTACCTTTCTACCATTAGTGCATGAGGGTTCATTTTTCTCCACATCCTTACCATCACTTCTTATTTCTTGTCTTTTTGATTTTAGCCATTCTGATAGGTAGTATCTCGTTGTGGTTTTGATTTGTGTTTCCCTGATGATGAACGATGTTGAGCATCTTTTCATGTGTCTGTTGGCCATCTGTATGTCCTCTTTGGACGACATCTATTCAGGTCTTCTGCCCATTTTCTAATTGTGTGTGTGTGTGTGTGTGTGTTATGTAAGCTCTTCCTATATTTTGGATATTAACCCTTTATCAGATGTATTGTCTGCAAATGTCTTTTCCCTTTCAGTATGTTGCCTTTTGTTTTGTTGATTGTTTCCTTCACTGTGCAGAAGCTTTTTAGTTTGATGTAGTCCCAGTAGTTTATTTTGGCTTCTGTTTCACTTGCCTTAGGAGACATATCTAGAAAAGTACTATGGCCATTGTCAAAGAAATTACTGCCTAGGAGTTTTAGGGTTTCAAGTCTCACATTTAGTGAGACTTTAATCCATTTTGAGCTTATCTTTATGTATTGTGTCAGAAGAGTAGTCCAGGCTTATTCTTCTGCCTGTAGCTGTCCAGTTTTCCCAGCACCATTTATTGAAGAGACTGTCTTTTCCCTATTGTGTATTCTTGCCTCCTTTGTTGTAGATTAATTGACCATATAAGCATGGGTTTATTTCTGGAGTCTCTATTCTGTTCCATTAATCTATGTGTCTGTTTTGTGCCAGACACAAAATTTGATTACTGTTTTGATTACTATAGTTTTGTAGTATATCTTGAAATCTGGGATTCTGATATCTCCAACTTTGATTCCCATTTAAATAGGGGCTGTTGAGTCATAATTTGGAAGTGTGAAATGGTTATCCACCAAATTCATTAAATCTAAGGGAATGCAAAATAAGACTTTACCATTTTGAAAAGATCAGAAAGGTATTGAAAAAGATGTCCTAACATAGACCTTCTGCATTCCACAAACATATGTCAAGCACAGGCTATGGACCAGCACCCTTCACATACAGGGACGGAGCAGAGATGGGCCTGGAAAGACTGCAAAGGGTTGGCTAGACTCAGACTTACCTGGGCCCTGAGAGCCACAGTTAAGAAAGGTATAATGGTGACTGGGTCAGGACACCATCAGGAGACTGCAGAGTGGGCCAAGAGCATGGCCTGATTGTTAATTATCTCTGAAGGAATTCTTAAAAGACTTTGCTAGTACAACCAGTGACAGCACTGTAATTTCTTTTTTGAATTGCTTGATTATATCTCAGTTCAGTGTTTTTATATTTGATGAACAAATCCATATTCCCACTTTCCAGAAAACTTAGGGGAATATAATTGATAAATATGAATCTGAGAGCCCATATAAGGCCTGTTTCCAGGAAATTCAGCCTTCAAAATGCTAGGGAAGAGCCTCCAAATTTGAATTTTAGCATGTCCAGCATGAAACATGTGCAAACACTAGGTTAACTTTGCTCTCCTCTGTAACCTTCACCAAGCTGCTTTTCATGAGGCCATATATTTATAGGTCAGCAGTGTCTTCCTTTATACCATATTATGGAAAGAATTCCTAACATGTGCTTTGTGATTGATATTACCCAAAGCTTCAGAAACGTGTCTGAGGTTTGGTAGTCTGGGCACATGCAAACAGGACTGCTTTGGTGTGACTTGGGTCCTACCTTTTCTCTTGCAGGCGCTGTGTACGGTGGCTGAAAGTCGCAAGCCTGTTTATCTTTGTGGTGGTGTGCTCTGTGAGTATCACAGAGCTCTGCTGTTGGGTCAGCAGAGCCCCAGGGTGCCTTGGGCTGGGTAGCAAGGCACCTAAGGTATGGGGCTCACACCTTTCTTTGGAGGAGATGCTGAAGGCATGGGGGACTGTGGGCTGAGGTTGGTGAGGGAGGCCTCCCCTTAGCAATGCTCCTCTGCTGTGATACAACAGAAGCCCTGGGGACTTGGCTTTGCTCTGTAGAAGGCAGTTAGCTTCATCCTTGGGTCTAACTTTCCACTGAAAGCGGCTTACCAATTCTGTTTTCAACCACATGCAATAAAACTCTTTATTTGTCTTGGGCATGTTCAGCATCATGGGTGGCCCCAAGAATGTGTCCTGCTGCCAGCATTTGTGTGGTGTGTATCCTGATGTAGCCTAGCTGGAATCACAGTGCAGGTGCTCAATATTTTGCCAAATGAATGAGTGTGAGATTCTTTGTGCTCAGGTGTGCATATCTGTGTGTGTACAAATGTGTGTGTACATGCCTGGCTGTGTGTGTCTGTGTGTGCACATGTGGATGTGAGGTCCTCTGTGCCTGCTGCGTGTTTGTGTGTCTGCATACCTGTGTGGGACATGTGGGTCATTTGTGGTCTGTGATCGTTTTGAGGTTGTGTCTGTGCTTGGGGTCTTGTTTCTGGGTGCGTACCAATTTTCAGCATTGGCATAAGAGAATTTGTCTGCACCATTGTTGGGAGATTCCAGTGGGTGGCTGGTGCCTGCTGCTGTGACTGCATGTGAGATTGTGAGGAAGGATGGGGTATGTGGGTGGTGTTTTCATGCCTGGGCAGTGTGGACTCCAGGACATGTGTGGCTGTGCCTCTTCTATGCAGCCTGAGGTTACGGCCAGGCTGAACCCTGCATGACTGGAAACTGCACATGACCACATGTGGCTGTGAGTACTTGTTTTTCATTATCTGCATAGGTGGGCATACATTTCAGGGCTCTGTGTGTGTGCATGTGGGATTATGCATCAGAAGAGGCTTCTCTTCTCAGGGTGGCGAATAGAGAGCACTATTGCATCTTGAGCAGCGAGGGTGGTTCATGAAGTCAATACTGGCTGAATTGAATACCTGCAACTCTATGAAAGCCCACAAGGGAGGGGAGCAGTGGCCCAGAGAAAGGAAATTATGCGTGAAACAAGAGACAAATACATTGAACTCTGAAAACTTCATGCTTTTACTTTTTTAGCTGCCAGTTTGCTTCTCTACCTCCTATTCTCACAACCGTGTGGCTCTGAAGCTCTGGCTGCTTCACAGGGCCTGGTAGGTGGGTACACTGGGGTTTCCAAGCAGAAGGTCAGGGTGGGCCAGCGCTTACCTGATCTCCTGAGGACTGACCTGAGCTCTGTATCTAGTCTTTAGCCTTCTTCTGGGATTTGAAGTTTTGGTGATTTGGGGAATTTGTTTTGAACTTCTATAACCTGTCATCTTATAACCGCTTATAACCACTTCAATGTACTTTCTGATGAGGTATAAGGTGCAAATTGTGCAAATTCCACAAACACATACTTTAACCATCACATGGGTTGTATCCCCTTTTCTCCAGTATGGGAAAACCATGTTTACCTTCCTCTGATGATTTAATTTTATAGCTGAGTGGTTAATCCTTAAAACAAACAAATATCAGTAATCAAGACCCATTGTAGTGGAGAATAGTATAATGAATCAGAATTTTATCTCTAAATATCTAAGAAAAACTAGAGTGAGCTGGTGAATGTTCAATACATCAGTCAACACCATTATTATACCCATATTTATACCTTTTTTTTTTATTCTTATGTTAATCCCCATACATTACATCATTAGTTTTAGATAAAGTGTTCCATGATTCATTGTTTGTGCATAACACCCAGTGCTCCATGCAGAACGTGCCCTCCTCAATACCCA